AACGACCACTGTTTTATAAATATAAAATAAATAAACGATAATATTATTGAATATATAAAAGTATCTTCTATAGTATTATCATTTATTTATTTTTTGTTTTTTTAGGCTTATGGCTTCGACGACTGAGGTCATTAGCCTGTAGGTCGGTAGGGTTGGTACAGTAGGGTTACCCCGGTTGGTACGGTCGGTTAGGAACACGCGTATGTGTAGCAAGGTTTTTGTGCACTACGAACCCGGGTGGTCACCCATCTGAGATCTAGTGGCAGAGGCCATTGCTTACTCTCAATCACTATAATTTTTTGTTAGGTACTCTATAATATTTACATTTGGTTAAATGTAAGCGGTGCTATTTTTAGATATACATTTCATTGCTTTTTTTTTATTATTGTCTTAAAAATCCCAGGAGACGTATAGATATTGGTTTTCTATCATCACCCGTAAAGAATATTTTTTATGACAACGTTTAATAATAACACTAAATAAATAAATACTAAATTGTAATTTTCCAGATAATTCAATTTCGTTGAATTTATTTGTCAATTATGTTTTGTTTATTAAACATAATTTACTAATACATAGTCTTGTATACTTCATACACTATATAGGTACATGATTTTCAGTACTATAATACTGCAGCTGCATGGCCGTCAAACGTGACATTGCAGGCTAGTGCATAGTATTTTTCTATTAATTATATGACGCGTGCACTATTTATGATATATTAAATTAATATTTTTTATAATATGCAACATAATGTCTAAGTGCGAATGCCACAAATTAAAATTCCATAACGAGTTTACAGATGTTCGACTTGTTCTCCTCAGAAGTGTTTTTACTTTTATTTAACCATATACTGTTGTACAGTAATACCATACAAGCAGGTTTAAAAAAATAAACAAGAGATACAATATTATTTGTGTCTATCGAATTTCGAGTTTTCTTCTCGTCGTTAAAATCGTTCAACTTTTTGGTCCCGGTTTTTTTGTTGTTGCAAAAACAAGTCCCATTGGCCATTGAATTCTAATAAAATATTGTCTCATTATTTTTTGACAATTCAGAGTTCTGGTTTTCGTTTATATTGCGCGGGCGCATCTTGTCTGATGTGTAATCATTACATAACTCTTAATCGTGTTCCGACGGATTCCTTATGTTCCGGCGTCCTTCCCCTTGGAGGTCAACAGGAAGAGTTCCGTCGGCATGGCGTTCGCAAATCGATCCCAATCTAATTTTCGAATCGGATAACCTTATTAAAGATTACAAAACCGGTACGAAGATCTGCCGACTGTATCAAATAGTCATGTAGGTAGTTATACAAAACAATTTTTTTTATTCACCGTCGCTTTTGAGTATGGTCATTAGGTATAGGCCATTTGGGCCGCCAGAAGTCATTATAATTTATATTTATATATTTTCACAGTCGTAATATATCGAGTCACAGTGCGACGTGTTAATCAAAACTAGTGTTAATCAAAACTAGTGTTGTTCAAATAATAGTAGATTACCTCTCCAATATGATGTAACTTATTATACCGATACATGTCGTTAAACTGTTTATTATTATCTACTAATATTTCTCTATCATGATATTATTGTCTTTCTATTAAAATTTGATTTTATACTTAAATTTTGATCACCCGCCCAACTCTAAGGTGTAAAATAGCTGCACATGGACCATATTGTTACACGTCACAAGTCATATGCCGCTTGACAGTCATCAGAAATTTTCAATGTTCGCTGTCTTCATACAATGACATAGTTACACTTATCAAACCCTATGTAATCAATCAATATTTTGAATGTTTCGTGGATGAGGAGAGAACCCAAAAGTGATGTAAAACAAGTTGCCTATACATTCGGCGCTTGAGCGTCTAATAGATCCGTAGTTAGATTTTGCAATTTTGCAATTATTATATTATTATATTTTCAAAACGAGATTATTGCATACCCGTTCGGGGATAAGACAATAAAATCGTCTATTCTCGTCCCACAGATGATTGAAAACGTAAACGAGAAATACCGGTATTCTGGGTATATCGACAGTCGTCACGGCGGAAGTTCGTAAAAAATAATTATGATAATGTTTATCATAAGCGTAGACGATATTATGGCTTGGTCGTCGGCTACGTTTAATTTTTGAATTTACAGCGTACATATATTAAACCCCTCAGGTGCGACATTATTTATCTATTGTCGCTTACCTACGACGTACTAGGGATTTCAACGCTCTTTGCTCTAAATCACTAAATTACCAAATTATCATACTAAATAATTAAATTAATGTATTTCTTATGTACAATTCATGTTGAATTTTAAAGATTTTGTACAACTTAATATTTTTTTAGTGAATTTTTAATTGCGTAATTTTAAAATGAATATGGATTTCTGTGACATTTTCTCAGTTTTTGCAGAGTACATCAGATTCCCAGTCCTAGTTATTGTACATACCTGTATAGGTACTGACCGTTTTACCTTACCGTGTCCATCTTATTCTGTAAGTATGTTTCTTATTTTCTTTCGTGTTCAGTCTTATCGTAGTCGTAAACATTTTATCGTCTCAAAGTTTTATCAGATTAGTGGAAGGCTATATTTGTCAACAATTTCGTATTTATTTGTTATGTACCTAAAATGCTTCTTATTATAGTACTATCGTAGGTGTGATACACCTCTGTAAAAATGTAAAACCATTATGTCATATCGATATAATTACGTCAAACACATTTTTTTTGTCCAAATTTTTCGCTCTCTTTCCGACGTCTTCACGCGTCGTTTGCTCGGAAAATCACTCACTCGTACACGGAACGACTGTAACTAAACGCTGGGCGAGCGGACAACATAATAATATTATTATGATATATATTCATCGACTGGCGTACACGATAATAATACGATACTTAGGTAACGATTTTTTTTGTTATTTTTTCGGCAGCGGCACGAGTAGGTTAGATTACACGTAATTTTACACAGATATTACATAGGCGCGCTATTCTGTTTTGCTACCTATAAAAATAATATCTATACCTACATTTATGCCTAATATTATATCTACGCAACGGTGTTTTACCGTGTCGGCGGTAGAGATCGATTGGCGAAATTGGATTCGTGACACAATACTAACCTGACATGAGTTCTCGTATAATATGTATTATGCTTGTCCTTTCGTCGTTTTTTGCGGCTTTTTTCCTAGTTTTTTTGCATTTTTACGGAAGAGTACACAAACCAAATTCAATTGTACACGATTTCCTGAATCATGAGTCTAAATAACAGCATTCGTTTCGTACTGCGCCTCGTATTAATCAAACGCCTACCCATATTATACATATTTATATCTTCGTGCCGTAACGTGATCAATAATAATTAAATAACACACATAATATACTCACGATTAATCTATTAATACAAGAATATAATATATAGACTATATGGTGGAATAGTCGTTGACGATTTATTCGTTTATTATTCCGTATATTATTATCTTATAATTTAGTATAACATGTCTCTTATAAACTACTCGCAGTCGTCCGCACTTGCCGTTTCCGCATGCCCATAACAGTTTTTCTTGATCAGTACATGTTACAGGGTAACCGGGAAAACGAAACATAAAAAAAAAAACCAATCGCAATAATAATAATAATAATAATAATAATATTCACGATATGATATAAATGTGACAATGTGTGCTCGCACAGTACCACACGGATCGAGCGAAGCACACAGGTCGCCGACTCGAATAGAAAATCGTTGCCGAGTCACTTTTTTTCGCCCCGTCGACCATATTATTACATACATAATATATTTACAGACTGCTCGCACGCACAGGCAATTCGGACGATTTACAAACGAGGTGATGTACCCCATTTATACTTTTTACTATATTGGTTGTCTGGAAAGAGTGTTTGTGCATTTTTATTTCATTCAAATATACACATCGCATATTATAATAATATGTAGGCACTCGTTTTAAACTTATAAAATATTTCGACCTTTTGGCGCATTATAGATCGCCGCTTATATTGCAGTCACATTTACCATGCCCATATTGCAGTATGCTGTCTTATAGTTATGTATTTCACCGATCTCCGTTTTTTTGCACTTATTATCGAACCGTAGTCACCTTACAAATCATCCCTCAGTTAAACTCGTATGGTATAAAACGCGTTTGATTTAACTTGCGGTGGCGACCTTTTTTTTATGCTGCTGCCGTTTGTCGCGATTATCAAAATTAGTCGCAATAAGCTCACTCTCGGTCGAGTCAATATCGGTTGACGCGGTATAAACGGTATCGTTTGATGGTATATATCGTAGACGACGGCGACTTATTTATTAGGCGTGAAAACCGCACCGCGACGGTGAGACGTGCGCGCGCCGAACGGGTTTGAGCGGCGCGGCCGACCTTGCATCCCTCGGCCGGTCTTGACCCTGCGCGCAGAAACGCGACCAACCTGCTGCGGCCGCGGCGGCGGTCCGGTTCGGCGGAGAGCGAATAATAATAATAATAATAATAAACGACCTGCTGCTGCGCGTCGACAGGCCGCCCGAACAAGCGCGCCGTCAGTCGTCAGTCGCCGCTCGACCGTCCGCCGCTTCAGTAGTCGCCGCCGCCGCCGTCGCAGTCGCGTCGCTCGCGTGTAGTTGGCCAAACGTAACAAGTCGTGATAATAATTTCAAATTTTCAGTAGTCGCGATCCGGGCACCGATATAGACGCTTGTTCGCGCGTGTGTTCCCGCGCCCGTCATATTCGCGGACGCTTTTCGGCGGAACACGATATTATAATAATATTATACAATATATACCTACCCATACAGTAATGATATTTTTAACTTTTCATTCGGTAATCGCCGTCGGTCTACATGACCGTGGTTCGATGTCGATTTATTTTTTCAAAGTTTGAATTTATCGTTTTTCTAAAACTTTTTTTTTGTTTTTTTTTTTTTTGTTTCATCCGCACGACAGGTGAGTTCAAACGATATTGTCGCCGCATCATCCGCACTCCGGCTTAACCATGGTGGCTGTATTGAACGCCGTTCAAGGATTTTTCGACAACTATGGAGGTGAGTCGATTTTATTAGATTCAAATTTTTTAGTCTCATCGACTAGGTAGGCAGTACCTACCGTCTGCAATGATTGGCAGATTATTATAAATTTTTTTTTTTTTGGGATAATTTTTTCATTTGCTTGATGATTTACAAATGTTTGCCCAAAAGTCGATTTTACTTCAATTTCATTTCATGTCACACTGAATATAATCAGTCTTGTTAAATATTTTTGTTTGTAACGAACAAAAAAAAAAATTACTTTTCTTTATAAATTATTCCATCACATAAAGTTTTGTGAACGTTTTAATTCATCCATTGAAATTACTATAATCTATTATAATTATTACTATTTTTAAATGTACATACCAATATGTTTATTTAGAACCTTCTAACTTATATAATACAGTTGGTACCCATATTTCAGTATATTTTATAGTCATTTATATTACATGCAAAAGATTATGGATGGAAATAAAATTCAATAAACATGTTTAAGTAGAATAAATATAAAATAGCACATAACGTCCAAGGCTAATGTCCATGATTTTTTTATGTGATTTAATTTAAAACTAGAATTAAAAAAATACCTTAACGTACATACAACCAATACATATTATTAATTATTAATATACATAGAATTATTCTATATAAGTCAGTCGTTTAAAGATAATTTTTTATCGATTCCAATGTTTTGCTATTATTAATTTTAATGGTTCGTCAATCGATTTCGTAATATACTCGGCGTTCGTAACGACAATCTGGTAACCTATTGCAGAAGCAGGGAGTCGACGAAACCATAATAACATATTATACGATAAATCGACGTTCTAATTTCAATTTTTGGTTAATATGAAAATGTCGATTGCAGATGAAAAAAAAAATACCGCCATCGCGCTAATCGAGTTTTTTACGTTTCGCTTATCAACTGCCCGTTAATACCTACTTCATGTGATAATAATAAATACAACACGTCGTTGCAGTTATCAAACGACAGTAATTATTTATAATTATACATTATATTATATTCCCTGTAGACCCTCGTACCAAGGATTGGTTTTTGATGCACAACCCTCTGCCCACGGCACTGATATGCGCTACGTACGTGTTCACCGTCAAAGTCGCGGGGCCCCGATTTATGGCCAACCGCAAACCGATGGAGCTGAGGAACGTACTCATCGCTTATAATCTCTTCCAAGTGATTTTCAGCTCTTGGTTGTTCTATGAGGTAAGCGCGGGTATTATTGTACGATATAGGATCAAACAAATATAATATAATAAAAACGACGACTGCACTTACGTTGAGGTCGTTCGAACCATATTTTTAAGGAGATCGTTCGATGTTATAAGTATAAACATTAAAACCATGGTTTTCATCGTGCAACGATTTTTGGATAATATATCCGGGGGAATTTGCCTAACCGTTGCACGTGTATGGGCGAACGAAGACGTTTGGAGTTGATCGCCGAAAAGGAAAATAAAAGCGTCAGAGACAAAAATTTGAGAGAATATTTAGTTAGGTAAATAGAATTGGTGTTAAAATCATGAGTTAGTGATTGTTAGAAAAAATTAGATATCATTAAATAATTAATAAAGGAATTGCAATATATTATATAGACGTGAGTCGGGGCAGTTTAAAATACTGAACGAATTGACTTGCTCGATTGTGTTGATATGCATATAATTCGAATGATGCGGAGAGTTGTACAAGTTTATGGTGTGAAAATATGAAACACGAAAAGGAAAATAATAGTAAATATATTTTGAAGGTATAATCAAAGAAGTGTGTTTGGCTTTAGTATATGGTATCATTTTTCTTTTTTTAAGTTTTGTACAAAAACATTACACTTCATTTAAACTGTATTTAAAACTTAAGTCAATTATTATGTCTTATGTTAATATGGTGAAAAGTTTACGGCTGGGAATTTACTTGAATATTCTATCTTTTCATACTACGTAGTATAATGTGTCGATAAATAACAACGATGATTTTTTCTTTTAGGTCTAGGTATATTATAATATTATTATTACTTATATAAAATTCATCCTCACGAACATAACATTTGCTTTATATGTGATCGACGAGTGGTCTAGCGTCTTTTGTTTATTCACCGATTAACTATAAACACACTCTTTCACATACACACATACACACATACACACATACATATATTATATACATACACATTAGACACACATATTTTATAATGTACACGAATTTATGTAATATTTATTTTATAGACGCAAACACCACTTGTTTACTTTTAATTATTTCATAAAACTTTCATAACTTATACTGTCATGACTTTGTAAGTTAAATATTCATTAATTGTTTTTCTATACATTTACTTGATGGGCATTGCAGTGTATGATGGGCGGCTGGTGGGGTGAATATAGTCTCAGTTGCCAACCGGTAGATTATTCGAATAAACCGTCCACAGTAAGAGTAAGTTGACAAAACTGAAATGCGTCAATAATTTCAGAATTTGATAAAAAATCAGCCTCGTGTACTTGACACAAATTTTTACAGGCTGTGTTGGGATACGCCGACAAATAATGTAATTACTATAATAAGTAATAATGTTTAAAAAAAAATGTATACAATGAATTTCAAATTAATAGATACAATTAGACACACAACTCTATAATATAAACTAAACAAATGAAAAACGATTATTTGGTAAGTAAAAAGCGTACACTAAGCTTAGGAAAATGCATGGTTACCATTAAAAATTCATTTTGGATTGTGAAATGTTAAGAGTAATTGGTTATTTTACACTTAATACTAACATATTATATATATATATCTTTTGGCTATTAACATCATTTACTTATCATAACAATAACATATAATAACATATATTTTATCATATAACAATACCTAGACCAAATTTAGTTGATGACTAAGTTTAGTTTAGATTTATTTGGGACTTAATTTCTTAAGTTGTATTATAATATATACGAATAATACATGACGAGAAAATATATTGTGTGAATTTTGAGGTGTTTTAGTGTTTTCAATTTAACAAAAATTGCATAAATTATGTGCGTTTAGAGGGTTGTGAATGTATTTCCTGACGCGCTAGTAAAATGCAATTTATTGAATGCTGCTGGGTTTTGGTATATATATATATATATATATATATTATATATATAAGCATTAAGCATATAGAAACTATTATTGGTTAATGCATGCTAAGAGCAGAATTAATCTGATTATTTATTTTGATGTATGTTTGTTGTATTGTAAAGGACCATAAACTTGATGTTGGGGAATACAGGCAAAATTAATATTATTATACGATTGGTGTTGAATGTTTTTTTTTTTTTATTATTATTTTTAATCTAGAAAATTATACAATCTATACTAAAACAAAGTACAATAAGCATAATGGATGGTTTTTTTTTTTAAATTATGTGTTATGGCTTGAGTGTCTTGAGGGAAGAAACCATCCAGTGAAGGGGTACTTGAATGTATTTAGTTATATTAAGTTTGATTGGATATTCTAAATTTTTAAATGTAAATATATTGAGAGAAAATGAATCACAACCCATATGCCGGGAAAAATGATTAAATTGGATATGCATGTAATGTTTATAATAAAAATTCTAAAATGATATATCCTCCCAATTTTTTTTTTTGTCGTTAAAAACTATAATTGGTTTTAAACTTCGATGTAAAATCAGTGCGGATTAGTTATTCGATAATAGACTCGTTAACAATCAACGATATTAATATTCGATAAATCCATTATTATTCTATTGATTCGGGTTAAGCGAAAATATTTTGACAAAAAATCGGCAAAATAAAGATTTATTAAATATATATATTATTATGTATTATATACTCCTTATTTTGAACCGGTAGAGAAAGAAGCTAAACATATAAATCTTAACCATTATTTGTTGGGAATAACTTACATTGTGCTTTACTTGACCGTGAAACTGATTTTATTAAGCACAAAGTTTAATAATGTTATACCTATCTACGATTAATTAATTTAATAATTTATAGTTGTAAAAATTGTACATTGTATTTTATGATGGCGGTGGTGGTTTTTACAGCTTGGCATATCAGGTTGGCTGACTGGCAGGTATAATTTCCGGTGTGAGCCGGTAGATTACTCGAATCATCCAATGACCCTGCGGGTGAGTTAGCATGGCATACATTGCGTCGTTTTTCAAATTTTCCTTTATTTTTTTTTTTTTTTTTGTAACTTAGAGTCATGTGACAGGTTTTCACCGTCATTTAAATATTTTTGTTGTAGATTTTTTTATAGTTATTATACATTTTTTTTTGTGTCAAGTTTGCGTGGTTTTTCTTTTAATTCAAAAGCAAAAATGTACACTCGACTTTAATGTGTTTTACTAATACTTGTTTTCTATTCTCGGATGACTGTATAGATGGTCAACGTATGTTGGTGGTATTATTTCTCAAAATTCACAGAATTCATGGACACGGTAATTAACGTTTTTTTTTAAAAATTCCAATTACACACTCGTGTAATTATTATGTCAACCAATTAATAACACGCCAAAATGTATGTGTATGTGCGCAGATATTCTTTGTTCTCCGCAAAAAGGATAGACACATTTCGACCCTGCACGTGATTCATCACGGAGTGATGCCAATGAGTGTGTGGTTTGGAGTGAAGTTCACACCAGGTAACGAAAACAAATAATATTTTACGACTATAACGACTGATTATAAACAAATTTATGGTTTTAATACTTTTACCGCCGAATAAATTAGCCGACGCGTTCCGACCTCCGATGACTACGATGTCAGTGGTGAACCGGCTATATCCGATTACTATAATTATTAATATAATTGTGTGATAATAAGGTTGACAAGGATTAGCGGTGACCTTTACCGAGACCTTATGCCTAGAAACTTCCTGTTGCACATAAAATTACGTTTTCGCCCACCATCGTTGTACAGTGTTTAGGTTATTGTTTTTAGAATTTTCAGAAATATCTTTAAAGACTTCTGTATACTATTATACTGAAACCTCCGTATTATAATATAAACACGACTTCGTATAATATTCCTATACTCGCGTAACCGTATTCCGTATTATTATTATGAGGTTTATCCGGAAATCCGATCAAGGGCGTTCTCCACTAGAGAGTAAACATAACATTATTAAATCGAATAAACCCAGATAATATCTTCTCGGGAGCTTGGATCTCTAGATATCATATATCTGTAGAAGATTTTCAACATCAGGCGGGAGGACACTACAAAAACAACAAAAACTACCCCTCGAAATGATTTAAACGTGGTTTTTTTCTCGAATATTTTCCAACAGGTGGCCACAGCACGTTCTTCGGATTGCTGAACACGTTCGTCCACATAATCATGTACTCGTACTACCTGTTGGCCGCCCTGGGCCCCAACGTGCAGAAATACTTGTGGTGGAAGAAATACTTGACCACCCTGCAGATGCTGCAATTCTTGGCCATCATGCTGCACGCTTTCCAACTGCTCTTCATCGACTGCAACTACCCGAAGGCTTTCGTCTGGTGGATCGGCATGCACGCCGTAATGTTCTTCTTCTTGTTCAAGGAGTTTTACAAGCAACAGTACACGAAACCTGACAAACAAACGGTAAGCGTACACCCTCTGACTATATTATACCTACTACCTTATATTAAATATTTTATAATACCCACGGGAAATGCCGCCGCCGCATCTCTTTTGTTTTAAGCAATATTTAAAACCATATTTTATAGCGAAATCGCGTGTCTGTCGCCATTGCATGGGAGGGGAATGCGCACCGCCTGCTAGATCGCGTAACCTGCCCGCCGTTATTACATTTAAACTTTTATTCATTATTATTATTTATAAGTATGTCGTCGATTTCGCGTTATGTGAAAATCACAATTGCTTAAGTACGCGATGCGCATGTGCTGGAATCGTCTTTTGTTTAAAACCATACGATCTTTTGTACGCTCGCTGTTGACTTCACTCGGTTATACGACGACGAAGACTGTGTACAATATATATGTCATAATATCGAAGATAATCACCTCCTCGCTATCGTCGTTAGTAAAAAATGTGTAAGACTATAGAAAAAAAAAAAAAGCTGTTGCGTAATTTATTCGAAATGATGGCAGGGCCATGTCTGACGATCGGTGATAGCGCATGGCATTCTTTTTTGTTTCGAGACCTTCTGAATACGACTTTGATGCGTCTAATCCATACCAATGCGCATAATATAATAATATAAACTCGATATATACACACACGTTGTTTTATAGTTGCGTTATTTTTTTTATCGCCAAATCGCTAATTATTTTCGTTTCTTCGATTATCCGAGTGTCGTACCGATTTAAATATGCGAATCTTTTATGTGTAAAAAAATAAACAGGTTCCGAGCAGGATCCAACATAACGTTAAGTCGTTAAATGTGCATAGACCTCCTGCTCTTCAGCACGGATATTTGTCTCGCTTTTGGCAACGGTCTGTACGAATTACGTGTGTGTCGAGTACGGCCGATATCGATTAATAATATATTTATATTATATCTTAGATCACATTATTATACTTTGGATGTAGCCAAAGCGTATTATTTTGTGACCGATATTAGTGACGAATCTCCATAGGTTCACTATCACACTGAATTGTTCTAAATCTTAGTTCGTGGTTAATTATATTATTATAGTAGGTATCATACTTTTTTCAATATAATATTATGGTGATTTTATAACAAATTATTGATCGGACTGTTGTCCGGGAAGTTGCGTCGCTCCTAATTTGATGACTCGTCACTGATGTCGGCAAAATGTTTTTGTATTGATTTAATACGCTGTGGCTCCATCCAATATCCATAGTATTATGATCTAAGACCTAGGTATTATATATTCTAATAATCACACGTGTGTGTGAGATGATAATAGGTATAATAGTTAATATAAAATGTATCGTTACAACTCAAAACATGTAGTAAAAGACGTAGTAAAAAGTGGCATTCCGCCGACGTCCGTCTGGCGTGTAGAGCCGGCCAAGGCGGTCGCCGATGGACGCGACGTGACATTGGAAAAACCCGACGCGAATTCTTAAACTAGTTCGTCAGCCGACTTGTGACTGTCTCTTTCTAATGACACGCGCACACGATAATAATATATTATATTATGTATATCGATGCTTATAATACCTATGCGCACACAATCGATATATTATGACGTATAGTTTCCTTGCGATTTTTTTGTTTTTTTTTTACAATTTTCATCTTTTAGTAAATCTCAATACTGCGCGCGTTTCGTCTATTTATCGTACCTATGATATACTATATGATCGTCATCGTAATATTAACACTGTCGTTTTTTTTTTCTTTTCCCCTTGCGTTTTCTAGGCCGGCGCCCAGTCCAGACCCTCGGCCAACGGCTCGTCCAAGTCGTCCAACGGCTACAGCAAACAGTCGGACTACTACATAAATAGCAACGGACTGTCTAGGCCCGACCTGGTACACAGGACCACGGCCGGATCGCACTGACCGCCGCCTCCGATGCCTCCGCCGCCGACGGCAAGCCACAGCAGCCGCCGACATCGCCGCCGACGCTGCTAAACAGTGGCCGTCGCAGCCGCCGCTGTCGCCGCCAACAAAATTGCTCAACACGCCCAAATTAATAATTTTATTTGACCTGAGCGTCTGTGTTCCGAGCAGACGTTTTTTTTTTTTTTTTTTTTATAGTTGACAAATTTCTCTATCCCCCTCCCCCATCCCCCTCTCTCTCTCTCTATCTCTATCTCTCTACATCTTTTTCCCCCTTTTTATTATATTAGATATAATTATTTTTAATATTATTATATTTTATCGTATATATATATTATGCATCATATGTATATTATATATATATATTATTATTATTGTTTAGAGTTAACGTGGCCTATTTATTGGTTTTCGTACGTGTATTACCTATACTATATCCCTCTGTCGCCCGTTGAGTCGGATCGCCAGGTGGTTGTGTGGCGATCGCCGCTGAGCATACGAGAAAGAAAAATCTATTCTGCCTAAAAAAAAAAAAAAAGAAATCGAGTGAGATTATTGTTTTATTTTTTTTTCATTATTATTTTTGTTTTGAGAACCCGGGGCTATTTATATACATTACGATATAAAAAAATACCACATAATATGTATATACGATATACGATATATTATATATATATGTTAATTTATAAGTCTGTCTATTATCGTACGTTATAGTAATAATTATTGTATACTATCGTGTTAGGTGTTGGAAATTAACAGTCCGCATATTATCGTGTGTAAAAACGTTTTTACGCATTTTTTTGCGTTTTGTACAAGTATTTTTTTCGTTTTAAATTTGTGTAAGACACGTGAACAGATAAAAAAAAAAATCATTTTTTTTCAGACGAAACTATTTCGATATAAAATCCAGTCGTGTTTTTCAAAATATTTTGATGTGATACCTATGTAACGTTTGTTTTATATATTTTGTGTAATGATTTAAACCATATGTGATTATTATTATTATTAATTATTATTATTATTATTATAATTATTATTATTATTATTATTATTATTATTATTATTATTTTGTACGAAACACGGCGCCTCACGTGCCTTAGTATTACGGGACCAGTGTAATTACTAATAATAATTAAGAGATTATATACGCTCTCGTGTATAATATTAATATTATCATGTTAACGTTACGAAAAATTGTATACTGTTTAGTATTGTATAATAAATTATTATAATAATGAAAATAAAGGTTCCCGGTATTTTTATGTGCCAGTAAATACGAACTAATCATATTATTATTATTATTATTTGAACGCCTCACGGTGCGACGTGTATAGGTAGGTACGCACAAAAAAATTATTCCGAAAGAAGACACGAGCCGTGTGTTATGATAAAATATAATGCACATCGTAAAATATTATATTATATTCACAACACAAATAATAAAACATTGTAACGAACGCGTCTCTTGCGTCTGACGAAAACAAAAACTACAGCTAAACGAAGTACTCTGCCTTCATATTTTTTTTACGCATTTTGTGTGTATGCGATTTAATATTATTCAACCTTGCATTATTTAAAAACTTTTTTTTTTTAAATTTTTGTCTCTCCCTCTCACTCTTTTTGTCTCTCTCTCTCTCTCTCTCTCTCTCTCTGTATGTTGTTTTTCTTCTTCCATTCGGCGGCCGAGTGTGTCGACGACAAAAAATAAAAATAGAATATAGAAATGTTAACGTTAAGCCAATCAATTTTTTTATTCGATAATTATTATTTTTCCAGTCTACTTGTGACATTATTTCTCGATATATCGTTTTAGACACCGCGCCATTTCTTCTGTTGATCCTCGGATTATAAAATATAGTATGGCAGAGGTTCCCAAACCGTCCGACCGCTTATTATTGTTATATTATGTTTGACCACGTTTGTGGTTGAGTACTTGAGTTGAGTACACAGGTCTTCCACTACCAAAGAGTTCTTCAATGACGACAACAAATTTTAGATTAATTTTTTTATTATTTTCTAATAGGTTAGGTTAGGTAACCTATACGTAATTATATTATAAACGATTCATAATTATTCTTTTGTCGCAAAAATTTTAATATAAAACCGAATAAGTAGGTTATACGTATGCAAGTATAACTGCCTTTTTAATTTCATATTATCCATAGGCCAGGGGAGGGGAGAGCGAGAGAAATTTTCTCTATTTTTATGGAGGATTGAATGTTACAAAAAAAGTTTGAGAACTACTGCCTCATAGTTATCTGAGCGAACATGTCAGAGTGAACCTATCCATACACCTACGGGCGTTATCGTCGAAAATATTTTATAAATGTACCTACGTCATGAAAACTGTACACAAATTATGTTTGTCGCGGTAATGATAATAATGATATGTTCATATTAAACTATAACAATGGTTTCGCGTGTAAAGATTACCGAATTTGCGTGATAATTTATTATTTTTTAATACATATGTCCGCGACACGCGTACTATATGCCTACCTGTCTGCCTGCCGCCGTGCCGATATAATAATATATAATATAGGCTTATGTATGTATACAAATTATTATCGTTGTTATATTATATTATTTCGATTTTATTATTATTGTTATGCCATTCCGGTTATTATTACTATTATTATTACTATCATTATTACTATCATTAACATTACGATTTGACTGTTGCGTATTGTGTATAGTCATGCCGCGGAATGTCGATAATAATATAATATTATATTATGTATTGTGCGATCGATAAATAAAAACGAACAATGTGCATAAAACCAAGTGTATACGTTTGTGGATTTCGAATCGAAATTTTTTTTTCACAATCCGCAAGCAGTCGCCTCGCCAAGGCGAATCGCCTCGCACATGCCATCGTACCTCTATATACGATACCAATATTTAATAACGTGCGCATAACGTATATTATGTCACAAGAGTATATAGCTACAGTTATATAGGTCATATAAATACACACACACACACACACACACATATATATATATACTATTATTATTGTATACAATAATATATATATAAAGTGTACATCATATTAGTGTGGACGCGTGCCTGTGAATTATAACGACCGACTTGGCCTTGAATTTCCGCCGCCTAATTAACTTCCGGAAGTGAATAGTAGTCGCGGGCGCGCTGTTACTCTATTGCCATACTCGCCGATCGTTCCACGACGTCTCGTTTTTCCGTGCCTCGGACTCTCCGAATATGATTACAGGTATATATTTTGCTGCAGGTTACCGCGGTATACTCCGGTACCTACGCGCGGCGTCGTTTCGTATATATCATTGCATATTATTATATTATTTCCGAGTAATCTGCGGATTCGAGACGTCGTGTAGTCGTGAAATTTCGTAGGTAGCCATTTTTACAGACTTATATGGGAATGTCGCGGTCAACGTCGCACTAGTGAAGTATAATCTTCTTGAAGAATAAATACAAAAAAAAAAACAATACAATATGTTTATGCATATATGATGGTTAGAAATGTACGTCTGCAGCGATATAGTGCGTATATTGTATCCTATATGGTCGAGTGGAAAAGCTCACCTGCGCAGCACAAAATAGTTGCGATGGATGCGTCACTCCAGAGACTTCTCGCTGATTTATCGGCGTGGACTTGAAGCAGACTTTCTTCTTAATTATAATATAATATGTATTATACATAGTTTGATCTCCCGAGTGTCCCATCGACATTGTCCCTCGCAATGCAACTTTGCAAGTTTGTGGATTCATTAATTTGTGTCGTTTGTATTATCGGTATAACAATAATGATACCCACTGCGTAATAATATTATATTTATATTTTACCTACCTATATAATATTTCTTTATATGTGAACGGTGGCTAGTTTCAATAGGGTGAAGTCAGTTTTGATTTTAGAGTGAATTGATTTATTATCAAACTTGTTGAGTAACAACATTATTCGTGTTCTCTCATTGGTTTCATACGATGTTTTAATTTTTAATTGAATTATGAGCATTTTAAAATTTTTTATGTTTTACATACTAATAATTCACTTCAAAATTAAAACATCGCAAACATCCAACGAGAGAACACAGACAATGTTGTTGCCTAAAAAATGTTGATAATAGATCAAATTCACTCTAATATCTAAATTCTAAGCTGACAGCACTCTAACCTAGGCGAACGAAAATTTGTCATGTCGTCCTTGTGTATCACTGAGACAACACGAACGGGTGCGACGTCCTATTAAAATCAATCGGATATCAATACAGCTTGCTACAGTGACATAGTTAGAATTTTTAATTGCTAGGTGGGAGACTAAATACTCGTTTGCGTGAGTCATTTGGGGTGAGCAAGGAGTTTCTCGGCAATACGAGTTTTCAAAATAGTTTTTATTTCTGTGGCTCGATCATCCGCCTACCTATTGGCCACTGATAACCTTTTATAATTTAATTTTACTGCCTACTTCCTCGCCCAGACACCGCATATAGCTTGAGCAGGTACCTATTATGAATAGAAACAGTACAAAGTAAATAAATGTATTTTTTTACTCGTTCTATCTTGTTTATTTGCAATAAACCTATACGCCTATGTAATTGTTGTTTGTTGACAGGCGATAATTACGTTATCAAGTTTAAAGTTTATCGTTTACCGTCAGTGTCTACCGAAAAAAATTGTCACCGAAAATAAATTGATAAAAAAATTCCACGTGGAAAATATTTTGTAAAAATAAATGACTATTAAGGTATGATCTCAGATTAGACACTTGTAGTGATACCATTTGGTGTCGGTTGATGCTTATGTAATGCCTTTAACAAATATATTAATTCCAAGAACATTTAGTTAACAGTTGCAAAACAGTATACCTACACATAAGTGGCCCATGGGAGGGCCTATAACCCACTTAGCCCTGATGATTCACCCATCACATGGAAGTTAATGCGACATTATGTGAAGCAGTTATAGTCTGCGTATTCGCCAAATCAATACGCGAAATTGGATCAAATTGGACTTTTCAAATG